GTAGCCTCTCCTAGCAACTTGCCCAAAGTATGTGATAAGAAGCTTTATCACCTTTGCCTCCAAGGAGCACTGTGGCTGCACCTTCTCTAAGACCTGTCTGTTTGCTCTTTTGGCCATCCATGGGATCTTCAGCACTCTTCTCCCAACACCACAGTGCAGAGGCATCAATAATTCTGTCATACTCACCCCCTCCTCTGGAGGACTCAGTAATCCTTGCCCTGTGCTTGCTCCCCATGTGTTGCCTTACCCTTCATTCCATCATCACTAAGGCCAGTCCATTGGCAGCTTCCTCAGTACAGAGGTGGAAGGCAGCATAGTTCCCGAGTATTAGGACCTGAAGGTGTAAGCGGATGTGAAGGATTAGGGTCTGGGGTGGGGCGGGGGTCTTCTTGGTGCAGTGGAGTGTTTCCTAAGCATGAGTTCGAGCTGTGGTTTGGTGAATGCCACTGTGACGGGTGAGAGCCCTCGAGCAGGCAGAGCAGACTTGAAGCCCTCCTGTGTGTGACGCTCAGGCAGGTTACCCAGCCTTAGTTTCCATTTCATCTGCTGTAAAATAGAACCGTTGCCATTCTTTATTCCCAAGTTTACTGAGAGAATGACTCTGTACAGGTGGGGAGTTAAGGATGGAGACACAAGACTCCAACTATACAGCTGGAGGGGGAGGTTGGACCACTTATCAGAGTCTGTGACTGACCACTCGTCCCCACCCCCAGGGCCAGTGTCAGTGGCGGCAGCCTCCAGGGAAGGAGATCTATCGCAAGAGCAACATCTCTGTGTACGAGGTAGACGGCAAAGACCACAAGGTAAGCCGAGGCTTTGGGAAGGTTGGGGGGCGCACCAGGCACCTCCTGGATGGTCCTCATCAAAGGGAAGAGGCCCGCCTTCAGGTGGACCTCCCCTGGGACCTGCCTGTGAGACTTGCTCAGCCAGCTGCTTGGCCGGTGTTACTGCGTGATAACGCACAGCCCGAGGGCCAGGGTTTCTGGGCTCTGCCGGTGAACTTGTCTTCTGGTGGGTCCTTTTGGAGCCCAGTATCTTGCCTGCGGCCGCGCTGAATAAAACTCTTTTTTGCTGCCTGAAGGAGAGGAGCTTGTTCTAGTTCTCTTGTGTCCTGGTTTCCCTTAGGAAGGATTGTTGTTGTTGAGTCCCATCTAGTTGGAACTGACTCATAACCGGCCCTCCAGCGATTTTCAGAGGCAGTACATTGCACATGAGGAGATGGTCTTTCTCCTACAGAGCAGCTGGTGCATTCAATAGCTTGGTAGCACCATTCCCTATCATTAAACCTCCACAAGGGAGCTCTGATGGTTTAGGGGTAAGGAATTGTGCTGCCAAACCAGAAGTACAGAGTTCAAATCTACCAGGTGCTGCCCAGGAGAAAGACAGGCAGTCTCCCCTGGTGCAGTTTTCTGCCTTTGAAAACCCACTGGAAGGTCAGCTAGCTATGGGTTAGTTCCGACTCAACAGTACACAACAGCAGCCTCAAAGCCACCAGCGCTTCCTACGGGAAGGGGAGGACAGTGTAAGTTGAAGTGTGGCTGCCTGGCTTTAAATTGCCTCATCCCCTCCGAGCTGACCATGAGCAGGTTACTTAACAATTCTGTTCCTGTTTCCTCATCTATAAACAGGAGTCGTCATAATATTTACCTCACAGGGTTGTTAGTGGAGTGGAATAAATGAGACAGCACACGTTCAATGCTTGGCACAGTGCCTGGCATCTAGTAGGTGTTTTTCAACATGGGCCTTGGGATTAGTGACCTGTTGGCTTGGCCTTGCCCGCCGCCATCTTTCTGAGTGTGACCAAGTGGGAGGAAGGACTTCCGCTGGAGATTTAGGGCCTGTTCCCAAGTCTCTGCTCCAACAGCTCTGAGGCCGCAGGCAGGCAGTCACCCACTCCCTTCCAAAATCTGTTTCCACATAAGTGAATGAGGACGAGCACTGCCAGGCTCACAGATGTGGAGAGTGGATGTCAGGAACCAGAGGACCGTGAAGCCACCCTCTGACACATGGTGTCTGTCCTGTCACTGGTCTCTATCTTGGATATGGTCTCTGGACCTGCAGCAGGGAGACTGGTGAGGCCCACAGGAGCATGGCGGTGGTCGGACAGTGCTCCAGCCTTGGGGTAGGCCTCCGGCTCAAGGCTAGTCCTTTTGACATTTACGCGGCACCAACTTCATGACTAACATGGTGCCCAGGTGCCGGGGACACAGCTGTTGTAAAGACAGCCCTTAGGGATCAGCTGGAATTCCTGCCCGGGCACTCACCAGGCACGGGACTTTGGACAAGCCGCTTACCTCCTCCGAGCTTGTTTCCTCACCCATAACGTAGAGGTCACGTCAGTGAAGGCTAAACAAGATGATGCACGCAGAGCACCTTGCTGGTATTTAGCACTCAGGAAGTGGCAGCCGCAGTTGGTCCAGCGAGGCCACTATCTGCCCTCGTGCTCATGGCTAACTGGCTTTTTTCCTGTCCATCAAAAATGGACTTCCTTAGGGAGCTCTGGGGGCCTAGTGGCAAGAAGCTGCACTGCAATCCCGAAGGCATGCGGTTCGAATCCACCAGATGCTCCACTGGAGAAGGAGGGGCAATCTCCTCCTGTGCCATTTGGATCTGATTTGACGGTACACAACAAGAAAGGAAAAAAAAAGACTTCTTTAAGCCTCCTTTTAATTTTAAAGGACACTCTGGTGGCGCAGTCTCTCATGATTTGCACTGTTAATCCACAGGCCGTGGTCAAGCATGCTCGAAGCCACCAGCTGTTCCTCAGGAACCTGCTGGATGGTCACAGTAAGGTGGGCTGAGAGGTCGTGGGTCTAACTCTAAGAGCTGCTGCCCTGGGGAGGAGTTTGTGCCTCGCCAGTGTGGTGATGACTGGTCTTTCGAGCCTGGCACACACAGAACGGAGCTTCACAGAGACGCCCGCCTGCTCCCTGAACCTTCTCCCACCTTTCTGACCCCCAGATTTACTGTCAGAACCTGTGCCTGTTGGCCAAGCTTTTCCTGGATCACAAGACGTTGTACTTCGATGTGGAGCCCTTCGTCTTTTACATCTTGACTGAGGTGGACAGGCAGGGTGCCCACATCGTCGGCTATTTCTCCAAGGTGCTGGCCCAGGATGCCCACACTAGGGGGGCGGGCAGAGAACATGAATGGTAGTGGGGGCTGGGCCTTCCCAAAGGTCCTGACCCACTGTCCCCTGCAGGAGAAGGAGTCCCCAGATGGCAACAACGTGGCTTGCATCCTGACCTTACCCCCTTACCAGCGCCGTGGCTACGGAAAGTTCCTTATCGCCTTCAGTGAGTGGAACCTGGCTTGCCTGGGACAGGGGGTGGCTGTGGGGGGGCTGCAGGTCCAGATCTTCAGGATCCTCTTGCCTGCCACTGCCAGGCTACGAGCTGTCCAAGCTGGAGAGCACGGTGGGCTCCCCTGAGAAGCCGCTGTCTGACCTGGGCAAGCTCAGCTACCGCAGCTACTGGTCGTGGGTCCTGCTGGAGATCCTCCGAGACTTCCGGGGCACGCTGTCCATCAAGGACCTCAGGTGAGGACCCTGGGCCCCAGCTAGGTGCAGGGCTTGCTGTCCCCTAAGATGGGCCAGGACCCTGTCTCCTCACTCTGTCCCACTGTCCCAGCCTGACCCCCCAGTAGAACTACCACTATCCCCTGCCCTAATGCCTTTCTGCAGCCAAATGACCAGCATCACCCAGAATGACATCATCAGCACCTTGCAGTCCCTCAATATGGTCAAGTACTGGAAGGGTCAGCACGTGATCTGCGTTACTCCCAAGCTGGTAGAAGAGCACCTCAAAAGTGCCCAGTATAAGAAACCACCCATCACAGGTGGGTGGGGGGCCTACCCAGGATGTGTGTGGGGTGGGTGGTGGGTGTGTAAATATGTGTGTGAGTGGTGGTGGGGCAGGTGTAAAAACTTTGGTGGGGAGCCAGGGCTGCCTTTTCTGCTGTCATATGATCACAAACCGGTCTGACAGGCTCTCAGGACTGCAGCCTGGGGCTGGCCGCTCATTCCTGGGCTGCCCTGCCCCCTCCCCAGGACTCAATCTGCCTTTTTGTTCTCACTTGGAGGAGGTGAAACCTGGCTGGGGCCCAGGGCCACAAAGCCAGGTGTGAGCAGGCCTGGCTCCCAGGCCCAGCCCTGTCTCTGTTCTTCTCCCCACAGTGGACTCTGTATGCCTCAAGTGGGCACCTCCTAAGCACAAGCAAGTCAAACTATCCAAGAAGTGAACGACCTCTGGCCCCGCTGCTGGATCCATGCCTCCTTGCCCCCTAGCCTGTAAATATGTACAGACCTGTTTGTCCTCCTCATTATTTTTTAAATAAAGTCAGTTCAGCCAGTGGCTCTAAACTTTGGAATGAAGAGGTCGAGGCGCGAGCAGATGGTCTGCATTTCACCTCACATATACAGCCAGTTTATGCTTGAAATATTTTACTCCTTCCTGCACCTCTCACCCCTCCCCCCAGATCCATGTGCCAGCCCAGTTCCGAGGGGGCTCAGTCCTCTGGAGTCCAGGAATTAGGGCCTCCGCCCAGGGCAGGATTGGACATAGGCTGCCGAGTGGGGCCCCGGCCCAGGAGGCAGGAAGCACGTGAAACAGGGCTCGTCAGGCAGGACAGGTGCTGAGTAGCATCAAATGAGCAGGTGCCCAGTCTTCTAGAAACAGAGTGAGGAGCGAGGGTTCGTTTTCATGCCAAGGATCCTTGGGGGCTCCATGGGAGTCTGACCAACAGGCGTGTGGACAGGAGGCTATCTGGAGGGGCCCAAGATTCCAGCCACCACCGTGGGCACTAAAATAGGATTGTATTCCCAAAGAACAAACCCAGAAAAGTGGGCTCAAAGGTCAACATGTTCCTGGCCTCCCACAAGCGTCCTAGGAAGGAGGAGTGGTTCGTGTCAGGCACCCAGGCCAGCTCCATTCCTGGGTCTTTGGGGCTGAGTCCGTTCAGGAAGCAGGTGGCTCCCAGCAGGATCAGCTGAAGTGAGCGGCTCAGCGTTCCCGAAGGAGGAGGCCCAGGGTCAGGCTGAGTGGCAGCAGAAGCGTAGGCCCCCACCAGCCCTGACCTGGGGCAGAGTTGAAGACCAGATGTTTATTGCAGAGGTTAATGTCCGGCTGAGACTCTTCGATTTGGGGTACCACTTGGGACTCCAGGTTTGCCACGTGATGTTGGATCCAAGAGGTGTATGTGGGGGTCAGAGTGTATACGCCAGGCCTGTTGGGGGCTCCGCAGGCATCACCCCAGCTCACGATCCCTGCTAGGTACCAGAGGCCCCCCACAGGGCAGGAAAGTGGGCCCCCAGAGTCACCCTGAGGAGAAAAGCCAGACAAGGGCTTTAGAAGCAGGTCCCCAGCCTTCCACACCAGGTCTCATCTTCCAAGACATGTTTGTCCTCGCTGCTTCCCTGCGCCCCCTCACTTACCTGGCAGGCGTCTCTGCCCCCCTGCACATAGCCAGCACACACCATGTCCGGCTGGATGTCATGGGGCTCGTCCGGGTTGGGGTCAATGTTGTAGAGGCACTTACATGTCTCCCGACTGATGAGTGGCACCTCAAGTTGCTGCAGTGGCCTGGGGGCCTGCAGACTCACTGTGAGGGCAAAAGATGCTTATCAAGGGCCTTGTGCTTTGAGACGGGGTCTCCCATGCCTCCAGCGCCCCCAGCTCACCCGAATGGGCCACATGGCCCCACCCAGTGACCGTGCAACGCAGGCCATTGGGGAAGGAGGCGTTGGCAGCGGGGAGGCAGATGGGCCGGATGGTGCGGGAGAAACTGACAGGGCGGCTCAGGCGGACAAGTGCAATGTCGCCCTGGGAGCCCTCCTCTCGGTAGCTGGAGTGGGAGATGACACGCGCCACAGTGCGGACTTCGGCATCAGGAGTGTAGGAGTCCAGCTGGTGGGCGCCCAGCTTCACCTCGTAGTCTTCCTTGCGGTGTTCCCTGCAGGCAGAGGGAAGAAGGCTGGGGCTCAGGAGAACTCTCTCAGTCCCAGTGGCACCCAGCCACGGGTTCTGATCCCAAACAGGGGACCTTTATGTCCCAAATGCTATCTTAGTTTTGTCGTATGGCCTTTTATTTATCCTCTAAACTCTTGGCTGATCTTTTCAGACCATTATCAATAACACTAGACCCAGTATCATGCACCCTGGTCTCTGACCTAGGCTGACTCCTGATTTTTTAATTTCCAACCCACTTGACCTACATGCCTTTCCCTCTTCCCCGACCCCGTACCTGGGAAAGCAGTGAGCAGCTGACAGCACCCACTCCTCAGACATGAGCGAGCCGCCGCACACGTGAGTGCCATAGTAGGTGATGCTGACCTGCCAGGGCCACTGACCAGGAACCGCGCTGCTTCCCCCTGAGATGCGTGCGTGGGGGGCTACACCACAGAAAGCTGCCCAGGGAGAAAGGAAGGGGGTCAACTCTTAGCTGTGCCAGGCCTTGGCTGAGATGCATCTGGCACGTGAAGAGGCATATCCCAAAACCCAACCACCCAGTGTCTCTAGTCCACGACTCGCCAAACACGGCACTGCCGCGCCTTCCGCCTTCCTGAGGACTTCTTGCCTTTTACCCACCCACTTCACTCCTAACAAGTCTGAAGATCTTCCACCCAAATCCACCAACTCCCTCCCCTGCTTAAATCCTCCTGTGGTTCCACACTGTCTGAAGAGACATTCCAGACCCCCCCCCCCCCCGTGTCACTACCATCTACTTTGGTCATCCTTTGGACCTTTCTTCATCTGCATAGTTCTATTTAAGAATACTATCCCTTTTCCCCTTCTGTTTGGCATGCTGCCTATTGGGACTCTGTTCACATGCCAGCCCCTTGGAACCTGCCCTGTCTGCTGGTTGAGTGAACATTTTGCCTCTGAGCTCCCAAGAGCCCTCTCTTCCCTCTAATACTTGTCAGTCGCACAACTGTTTCAGCATCTACAACTGCTTCAACCACAGCCGCCCAGATGTCTATAGCTGCCAGAACCAAACCAGATCTCCTTGTCCCTAGTGCCGAGCACAGAGCTGTGCTCCCAACTGGCATTGTGGATGTATGCAGAATATTCATTCAGACACAAACTGAGCTCCTCATGTAGCGTGAAAATCCAGGGGTCAAAGTTCCAAGACAGCCCCCTTGCCATTGAGGTGATGTTTACAGAGGACCTTGTCTGCCTTGCAGAGACCTTCCAAAGAGCAGAGAAACTGCCAGCCAAATCCCTCCTCTCCTTCATAACAACAAAACCAAATTAAATCCCCTGCTTTTGATTTTATTCCAACTTATAGCACCCCTGTCAAACTGCCCTGCAGGGTTTCCAAGGCTGAAAATCTCTTAAGGAAAGATGGACAAGTCTGTCTCCTTTGAAGCAGCTGGTGGGTTCAAACCACCTGCTTAACCAGGGCTCCTCTCACAATGATGGTAACTACTGTTTAGTGAGTTCACAGCAATGCCAGGCCCCGAAAGGTTTTCACCTGCTTTATCTCAATGAATTGTCACTGCAGCCCTAGGAGAGGGGCAGAACCCATTTTAGAAGTGAGGAAAGATAAAGGACTTGGCCAATGGCACACAGAAAGTAGCAAAGCTGAGAGAGCCTGTATTACCCCAGCGTGTGTCTTTGGAGAAAGATCTTTGGCTTGGTTCACATGGAAATGACCCCTGAGAGTCCCACCTTGAGAATCAGACCTGAGTTCAAATCCCAGCTACCTCACTTACGGTTGCGTGCCCTCCAGCAAGTCACTTTTCTGTACCTTGTTCATAAAAGGAGGCCTGTAAGTCCCTTCAGGGAGCCTGGAGGCACAGTGATTCAAGTACTAAGAGGCGGGTGGTTTGAATCCACCAGGTGCTTTTTGGGAGAAAGTTGTGGCAGACAGCTTCTATGAAGATTGACAGTCATGGGAACCCTATCAGATAAAGCTACTCTAGAGTTGGAATTGATAGTGGCAGGTTATAGTTGGGTTAAAACTGCCCTCACAGACCTACTGGTGGATTTAACTGAGAGACTTCTGGGTGGCTAAGATAAACCAACATATGATCCTACAATGCCAGAGAAATCGGAATTCACGTCCCCTTTGCCAGCCCTCCCCTAACTCTGGCAGGTAAACCCACGTTCCCAAACTCCTTAGCAGCTGCTCCTCTCCCGAGTGCCTCCGGCAGAGTTGAGGAGGGAGAGATCTGGGTGGCTGAAGCCAGAGGTTCGAGGGCCAGGAGTAATGTATCTCAGAAGGCTATGCCCACTGCCCTCCCGCCACATTTCTTCTCCCGCAGGGCTCACCGCTCTCCCCCTCCCAGCCTGGCACACACACTCACCCAACGCGTATGGGGTTAATCCAAGCAAGAGCAGAAGAATCACTGCCTTCAGCAGCCCGGGGCCCAGACCTGCCCTCCGGGCCATGGCCCAGAAAAGGGCTCCGGCACCAGACAGCCCAGGGAAGGGAGGAACGTAGGGTCTGAGGTTAGCTTTGAACACAGGATCCACAAGTCCAGCCCAAAAGTAAGGGGGCCCAAGAATCCGGGCTGGGAAGAAGAGGCCAGACGCCGAAGGCTGGCTTCGAAGGCAGGTATGAGGCACCAGGGAGACTTCAGTCTCGGCAGCCAGTAGTCTGGATGGCCTCCAGCAAAGTGTAACACAGAGAGACTTCCAGGAGTGGAGGCTCCGGGGGGAGGTCACCTACCTGGCCGCGCCGCCCCTCCCCTTCATCGGCCCCGCCCACCAGCCACCAGCCGTTCTACGGCTGTGCGGACGGACGGACGGGAGTGGGGTAGGAGATCGCTGTGTAACTCCAAGACCCCGACTGTTTTATTCCCAAGTAGGACTGGGCAGGCCAATGGTGTGGGACCCGACTGCCATGTGCCCCAGGCCCCCAGGTATCCCAGAGCAGTTATGCCCCAAGGACCAGGCCCAGCCCACATTATCCCAGGGTCTAGGCTGCTCCTCCCTCCACTCTTAGGTCGTCTAGAGAAACCCAGGACAGTAGGGTCTGTCCAGGGTCGGCCAGAGCCATTTGGGGGCCCTGTGTAAGGCCTTCAGCCTGGTCTGCGTCCCAGGGAGCGTGTGTGGCCTGCTAATCATCCCACAAATATTTCCCGAGGGCCTATTGTGTTCCGGTCCAGGAGAACAAAACAGTCACTAAGCCTTGTTCCTCCCTGAGCTCATGGTGTAGTAGTAGCAATAGGCTTGATGCAAATCAGCACATAAACACCTACAGAGTAATTACGGATTAAGACCAACAAGGATGGGGGGCTTTGGGAACAAGTTCACAGCTGCTGGATCCTGGCTGCATTGTAAAAGCCTCAAGGAAGTACCTTTAATTGTCTTTCTCTTTTTTTTAATGTTTGCTTTTTTTTTTAAGGAAGTGCCTTTAAAGATGAGACTTAAAGGTGTGGTGAAGAGTTGGTAGCCCTTCTTCTGTGCTAAATGTAATTTCCTCCATGATCTTCCTGGCCAGGGACACCCCATCTGTTCTTAACTAGACTGGGAGCACTTTGTGGGCTTATGTTTTGAATCCGATTGTGCCAAGTTGACAAGGAATATTGGCTGAATTACCCTGCAGAGATCCATGCAGGGTCAGGTAACAGAACAGGTACTTAAAGTCACCTGATGGTACTCAAATCCTGGGTGTCACTGGGTACTTCCTGTGGAAGGTACTCAGTATGTGTGTGTACACATGAGAGTTCACACACCAGATTCTAGAAACCCAGAACCTTGTGCTGGGGGAAGGGAAGCATGAGCCCAGTAAGGACAGGTATGCAGCAGGCAGTGTGGGTGCTGGTTCCACGGGGGTAGGTGACACATACCCAGCTGGCTATCCAACCTTCTCCGCCTGGGGCTGGAATGAGAGACCGCTGCCACGTTATCAGGGACTTATTTCCTGGGAGCCCAGGTCCTGACTCACAGAGGCCCCTGGAGGGAGGGGTCAATTCCTTGGGCTTTCCCCAGGAGGCTCTGGGCCTTTTGGTTTGCTCTGAGATGCCACAAGCCACGTGTCAGTGTTTACACCTTTATTGTCACTCCTCCAGGCCGCCCTCAAGGATTCCTGGGCCCAAAATAGCCAGACAACAAGGAGGAGGCCTAATTGTTTGGAGCTGCCTCTGTGGGTGGAACAGTCTCCAGGTTGGACCACATTCCAGTGATGGCCAGAAGATGTGTAGATGGTAGTGATCCAGGGACTCAGGGCTCAGCTCTGGATCAAGAAGGTCAGCAGCAGCAGCAGCAGTAGCAGCAGTGTGGCTTTAGGGGAGCCCGAGGCCCCGGCAATGTCCGGACAGAGGTCATTATCCTTAGGAAGCCAGCTGGGAAAGTCGCTGGGGGGCAGTAAGTAGACTTCCCCTATGGTCTCAGAGATCCACTTCTCATCAATGGCCGCAAACAGCTCCCGGCTCCCTCGAATTGCCATGCCCATGAAGGCCCAGGAGCCTGTTTCCGTCTGGCACAGGAGTGGAGGTGCCGAGGTCACCTGCAGAATCAGGATCCAGACTAAAGAGGCCTGAACCAGGAAATACTTTGCCCTGGTCCCCTTCACTTTCTGCTAGAATTAAGGCAGAAAACACCTGTCTCTTCCTTCTTTAGACCGCTCCAAAGTCTAGCCAGAAAGCACTGCTTTGTACCCAGGACTGAGAATTTCAATCCCTGTCTCTCTGATAGTCCAACCACACCCAGTACTGTCTTTCCCCTCCCAGACCAGGCTGCGCAGTCCCCTGTACCTCACACATGTCTTCCTGCCCTTTTGCATACAGGACACAGAGGGTCCCTAAAGGCGGAGCACCCTGATACAGGCAGTGACAGAGTTGTGGTGTCAGAATAGAGACAGCAGCAGCCACCGGGACTATAAAAAGGAAAGCAGGTTATTCCAAGGATCTAGCCTCCAGTCACTCTACACCTCCCCAAGACCCAGGGCTCTGGTCTCTGGCCCCTCTGCTCACCTCGGTCCTGGGGGTCCTTCCAGCCCAGGACCCAGCAGCTGGCCCTCTGAGGGATGCCCCCTGAGTGGAGGCAGATGGGCAGAGCTGATGAGGAAGGCTCCACCCGAGCGCTCAGCTCCAGGAGGGCCATGGGGGACTGGAGTCCCTGGTGCTGGGGCAGGCGGATGCTGACGACGGATCGGGACAGCTGGTGGCCCTGTGGGATGGGACTGGACCCTGCCCGGCCTAGGTACACTTGGATATAGGGTAACGTTGGAGAGCCCAGTCTGTAGGAACAAGGCCACAGTCATGTCACTTTCTGTTCCACATACTACTAATGAAGTCTTCTCCAGCCCAGGGCAAAGGGTGGAATGCATCCTTAAGATCACACCATCAATTCTTCCATTAGTCTAAATGTCTCCTGTTTAACACACCTTATAGCAAAATTTATTTACACCTTATTCTGTAAAAGCCCCAAAGGAAGACTACCTCACTGTTCTAAGGGTACTTGGATCCAGCCCCCCATATTTCCTTGTAGCCTCTTGCCCAGGAGATGGGTGAGGCTCACCTGAAGATACAATGGGTGGCTGCCAGGACCCAGCCTGGAGCCACGAGGATCCCAGTGCAGACTCGCTCACCAGCCACGTGCACCTCTGCCAAAAAGGGCCACAGGACCCCTTTCTGAGGAATTTGTGGCTGCAGGCCACAGGCTGGAAAGAGAAGGTAGCCAGTTTAGTGAGGACTCCATGGCTGACATCCCCCCTCATACCTCAGCCTTTGCTGAGCACTCTCAGGAAGCCCTGAGCCCCCTTCCTCACCACCATGCTCTGTGTGTGGCGGACAAGTCTGTGTCTCTGTTTCCTCCCTCTCCGGTCCCCAGTTCCAATCTAGCTGGTCCTCCAGGTAGACTTCCTTAGTTACACGGCGGATCCATGGGCCGTGGGGATGCAGCGGATAGAAGGCTCTGGGCCGGAGGCAGCTACTCCAGGGCTCTTTAATCCCAGCCAGGAACCAGGTACCTGCCTCCTGGCACACAAGGCTCCAGCGCGAGTCGTTCTGCAGCAAGAGAATGTGTTAGGAAGTGTGTTGCACAAGCAAGCTAGCTAGAGAGTTGTGGGGCTTTTTCAGACTCCAGACAGAGCCTCTTGTGCTTGGCTAGAACAATTTTCACTTCCTCCATGCCAGCTTCCCATACGAACCTATTCAAGAGTTCAGCTTTCACCTTAAAGCATCTTTAAACCCAGGAGCAGCAAGGTAAAGAAGCCATTGCTGTTCTGGAGCCTTGCCAGTCCCTATGACACGCCCCGGCCGAGCCACGCCCACAGAGCTCCATGACCACACCCCTAACGGAGCAGGCTCCACCTCCACTTTCCCCTCCTCGTGAGTGGGCCGTCCCTCAGGCCCCACCCCCGGATCCCTCGGCCTCTCACAAAGTTCTGTTCAAACCGCCTTCCGCAGGCTCCGCCCCCGCCGCTCACCCAACATTGGCCCGCCTCTTCCTCCTCCTGATAGGCGGGGCAGAGCACATGCGGCTGGCCCTGAGGAGGCGGCACTGACGCCCCCTGGCCGCCGTAGAGGCAATGACACCACCAGCGGCTCAGCAGCTCCGCCTCCAGCAGCGCGCTAGGACCAGGTACTTGCTCTATTGGGAAGAGAGGGGACAGGTGCTCAGAGATAGTCACCCACGCACCGCGGCACTGTCCGTCTCGCTCGGGGCTTCCGCTCACCTCCTTGGCCCCAGGGAGCCAGGCGGCAATGGCTCCCGGGCAAGAAATAGTGATTCTGGTTGGGTAGGCACACGGCCCCCGGGACCTCGCTCAGGTTCAGGGGTGTCTGCAGCTGCAGCAGCATCAGGTCTGAGGCGTTATCCTTGGAGGCGTTCACGTGAGGCACAAGGCTCAGTACCCGCTCTAGGCGAGGTCTCGAGGGCAGCAGCACGCGCCAGGCGTCGAGGTCGTGGCTGTGGGAGATGTTGCTGTGGGGTGAAGAGGCATCACACGCATGGGCTTGAACTTCAGACTCTTGATCTCCAGTCTAGGATCCTGCATTGGGACTGGACCTCACGTCCTTCCTGGAACCCCCTTCCTCTCTCTTCATTTGTTCCCACCACTCAGATCCCACATCCTTGACTGAATTTGCACTATCATCTCTCCACACCCCCAGGGGGAAGGGCTAGGACCCTTCAGATCATGTCTCAGGCTATTGGGGGAAGGTTCTCACTCACTCTGGAAAGCAGCTGGCAGGTGCCAAGATCCAGCTCTCAGAAACCAGCACTCCGTAGCAGGGTCTGGAACCTGGCACCATCACCTGGGCCTCCCAGGGCCAGTCCCCTGGCCACTGGGCCTTTCCACACTCTGAGGGGCGAGAAGTCTGGTTCAGGAGCCTGCTGACACCCAACAAGGCTCCACTAGGATTCACATCTTTAATCTCCAGCGCATATCCAGGGGGTCCTGCCCTCTTACCTGGCAGTGCCATGGTGCAGTTCTCCTCTGTAGGCTCCTGAGGGTCTGGCTGGAGCCCCTCTGGCTGTGCTGGAAAAGCAGGCCCAGGCTCTGAGCCCATCAACTGTTCCCGGATCCATGTCTCATAAGCAGCCACATCTGTGAAGATTCCTGGTCGATTCCTCCGTCCACAGCCAAGGCCAAAGCTGGTGATTCCCACCTGGAACCAGTGTCCGCCTTCCTCACAGACCAGAGGTCCCCCGGAGTCACCCTGGTGGTAGATGACTACTGGTCAGTTCAGGGACCCACCACCTTGTCCTCAGCCTCTTGGTAAACCATTGTCATTTCTTCTCAGCACCACGTACAACATATAGTGCCTTCCCTCTGTGACCTCAGGGCCCACCGAAGAACCGTGTGACTTGGCGAACCTACCCCGGACCCTTCCTTGGATGTGCCTTCTCTGGATCCACTACCAACTTTACATGGAAGAAAGAGTGAAGAAGCTGAAAGCCAAGAGGACCCAGCACATGCAAGAAAGATCTCAGGACTAAATATTCAATAAGTAGTTCAGACAAGCCCTGCTGTTTTGGTTTTTTTTTTAGCTTTGAAGTTCAACCAGTTGAAAGAAAATCAGAAATGTTGGGATTCAGGAGAAAGAAGCTATTAGGAACAGGCTAGCTGAAAGTAGCAACAAGGGGCCTTCTGAAAGCAAATGAGGAAGAGGAGGAACTATAATAAACAAATCACAATGCCTCTGGGGCCATCAACTTAACACCAAGCCACTGCCCCTAAGATGTCTCTTTAAGGCAGGTCAGCCTGTGAGAAGGTCACCAAGAAGCCTCAGGATCACCCAGTCCTGTGTCGCAACTGCCCACATGTGGCTATTTTAGTTCAGAATGTTTAAGGGGAAAATTTACTTGCTCGTTCACAAGAGCCACGTTTCAAATATTCAACAGCTAGACGTGGTCACTGAACTGGATAGTGCAGGTACACAACATTTCTATCATCACAGAAGGTTCTATAGAACAGCACGTGGCTAGAGGAATTTGTCATGCTTTTCAAGAAAACAGAAGATTCTGCTCATAAAGTCTGAGACTTCAGAACTGGGAAGACCTTTGAAGATCATCCAGCTAGAGGTTTCACTACCACCGTGTTCATACCTGCTTGAATGCCTAAAGAAAATGTATTTCATTTTGCAAAAAGGTTCTGGGCAAAATGGTTAAGATATATTTTGACTTTTGGGTAATTATTTGTAACATTCCCTCCTGGGAAGCATGGATTTATTTTTCAGTGACCATTTATTGAACATCTACTAAATAATAGGTGCTGTGCTAGGAGCTGTGATGTGGGCTAATGTTATTACTAATACACATTGCCGTGGAGGAGAAACCAACTCATAGCTGACCCTCCAGCTATTGGAGATCACCCCTCTTTTCCCCTCAAAGCCTCTGATGGATTGGAAACAGCAGAGAGGCGCCACCTTCAGGTTAGCAGTGCAAATCTCTACAAATCATGCCTCCAGAGCTCCCCTGTTAGTAATAGCTAATATATATTTAACCCTTATTAAAGGCCAGGTGCTGTTTCTAACAATTTTACAAGCAAGAGTTAATTTAATTCTCATAATAGTCCCATTAGATGAGTGGCATTATTAACTCCAGCGTCTAGCTGAAGAGCTTGGAGCACAGGGAGGTAGAGTATTTTAGCCGAGGTCACACAGTTAGTAAGTGGTGCTACTGGTCTTCTGACTAAATTCACTCCACTCTGGGATCCTACACTTTACTGGATCGTAATACCATACGTAGCAGGGCCCACTGGCTGAATCTCAAGTTCTGTCCTGTCATCCTCACTCCAATCCCACCCGTTGGCATTCTGTTTTGTTTTGTTTTCTTGTTGTGTGCCATTGAATCTGATCTGATTGGCACAGGACAGGATTGCCCCTCCTCCAGCAGAGCATCTGGTGGATTTGAATAGGCCACCAGAGCTCCCTTCCATTGGCATTCTTGCTGCCTTTTCACACATAACCCCCAGAGAGGTGGGAGATACGACATTTGTCTGCTCCTCACAACCATTTCCCATTGGCTAGGGGTCTGCCTGCTCCTCCCACGTAGGTTCAAGGGCCTCACCTCACCTGGCAGCTATCTTTGCGGCCCTTTGTGAAGCCAGCACACAGCATCTTTGGCAATAGCTCTAAGGTGAGGTTGAAGGGACCAGGTCTGCTGTAAAGGCATTGACAAGCAGCCTCTCCTATCAGCTTTAACTCTACTTCCTGTAGTGTCCAAGGTTCAGGTAAAGGATCTGGGGGGAGAATCAGAGAGACTATGAGGCAGGGATGGGGTCCCCACTCCATCAAGGCTTAGACTTGTCCCCTTCCAGCTTCTTCCTGGACACCTCAGAGCACCAAATCCAAAGCCGTCTTGTCTTCCTGCCTCCATCTGACCTTCGTTCTGTCTCTGCTCTTCATCCTGTTTTCACTTCGAGAATGGCCCCTTCAAGCGCCACGTGAGAGCATCTGTGCATGGTTGTGCATAGTATGCACTGCACAAAAGCTCCAATCAACAAAAGACACGCATGGGGCAGAAATCAGCAAGCCTGGAGCCCTGATACGGGGTTGTAGTGAGACACTTCTTTTTCTGCAGAGATATCATATAGATTGTTGTTGTCATTCACTATTGAGTTGGCTCCAACTCAGTGACCCTAGTACAATCAGAACGTCATCCCGCCATTCTCATAACATCCATTGTGCTTTTGACCATTACTACAATTACCATGGCAGTCTGTCTGATTCAGGATCTTGCTGTCTTTCACTGACTTTCTACTTCCCCAAATATGACGTCCTTTCTCAAGGACTGGCCCTTCTTGACAATGTAGCCAAAGACAAAAAGCAAAATGCCACACTTGGCATCTGGGCATTGTCACTGATCTTTCAGTGCCCTCTCCCCAGTCGCTTCCCAGACCCCAAACCTCTGTCGTCTTGCCTTCTTAGCAGTCCCACGGCAACTGCCCTAGTTCAGGCAGCATAACCTTGGACCTAGATGACATCCCAGCCTCCTCATTGGTCCCTTTCTCTCTCAGTGCACCCTTCACTTGCTGCTGCCAGAGGAATGTTCCTAAAACCCAGCTGTGATTTGACAAGAATAAATGGATCCCATTGTCTAAACCTGGTGCCTCAGCCCTTTCCTGAGGTGAACTCACTTGATGAGAATGAAGTCTTGGGCTCTAGAAAAGGGTGGGGCAAAGTGTGGCTAAGACTCCGTCCCTTTTCACCCCAGAGCTCAGGGGGTAGGAAATTCGGAGATCGTCTGGAAATCTCTGGGCCTGGTGGGGGCCTCTGACCTTCAGACTGACCATAAGACCTTCAAAGCTCAGATTTAGCCTCTACTGCCTGTTTTCCACTCTAGCAAGCAAAAATTATGATGATGATGATGATGATGATGATGATGTGCGTGTGTACCGTCAAATCAGATCTGACTGGTACAGGAGGAGATTTGCCCCTCCTTCTCCAGCACAGCATCTGGTGGATTCGAACCACAAACCTCTAGGATTGCAGTGCAGTTTCTTGCCATTAGGCTTCCAGAGCTCCCTAGGGTGGCCCTTCTTAATCTAACATTAATCTTCCACAGGCCCCCAGGATCACTCCCACCCTCTTCCTTTCTGCAAGGCTGGTCTATATCCTGTCTTCCTAAAACCACTCTGGAAATCTGCTCTGGGTTCCTATTATCATAGTGTGGCCTTTGTATCCCCATGGACTTCCCTGATGCTCACAGGGATTCTTCTTGTTGCCTGCCTTGCTGAGGAGGCCTAAGGTCCCAGCAGGTAGAGACTGGCTTCTCTTCCTGAAGCCCCTGCCTAAAGCCCATGGCTGGTACTGGTCTGGTCACAGTGATATGGACTCAGTGGGGAAGCAGGGAAAGGTAACAGTGCATGATGGGTCATGGCACAGTGCAAACTGTGGTCTGGTTTCTCTCCACATCTCCTAACATACTCTGCTCATTGCTGTTCAATTAGTACTGGCTTACGGCTTCAGTGGGTTTTCAGGGGCTGTAAAATCACATTAGAGGAAATTGCTCATCTTTTTCTCTTGGATCCGTGGATCTTTCTCTCATGGATGGTGGATTTGAACCGCCAGAGAGGCACTAACTTTGTTTAGCTGCGACTCGCTTTTGTACATATCCTGTTGAACTCCCCATACCTGGTGCATTAAAGATGCCCAAGAGAGATGGTTGAATTGAGCAGAGAGAAGACAGAAGGTGGGGTGTGGAGACAGAGATGAGGGTAGCATATAGGTGAGAAGGGGAAGGAAGGAAAGAGGGCAGAAACACATTTGCTGAGCACCTGCTGTCTGCCAGCTACTGTGCGTTGGCATTTTAATGTTGATTCTCAAAGAGACAATATCGAAAATACGGTAATTACTGCTATACCAGGCACTGTGCTACAAACTTGGTGTGGAATTTTAAATTCAATACTCTCTTCCCCTAACAACCGCCCGAAGTGGGGCTACAATTTTCCCCAGTCTCTTGGCAAGTGCTGTCTCCTTGAGTGCAACTCATAGTGACCCTGTGGACAACAGCCCCGAGCCCTGTCCCATCCTCCGCTGTCCTCAGCATCTCTGACACACTTGAGCCCATTGCTGCACTCACTGTGGTAATCCATCTCACTGAAGGTCTTCCTCTCTTTTGCTGAGCCTCTCTACCTTCCTTTCCGAGCGTGATGTCTCTTACCAAGGACCCGCCCCTCGTAAACAACGTGGCCAAAGCATGTGAAGAAGCTTCGTCTCCAAGGAACACTCTGGCTACACTTTTCCCAGACATACCTGATTGTTTTTATGGAGGAGGAAAGGGGCAGAACCAGGCTCAGCGCTTCCTAATCAGAACCCTAAATTCGGGCAGGTGAAAGGTGGGAGGGCTAAGGAGGGAGTGGGGGGGAGAAGCTGGACCCTGGGGAGGGAGGCGCAGGGTTTCCGAGGGCCTCCCACCGGTGCGGCAGCACCCCTGTGGAACCCCTGCCCCGCCCGCAGGCTCCGTTTACCTCCCTCCTGGACGTTCCCCCAGCCGGTGGCCCAGCACGAGGTGCCGGGAACCAGGCGGTGCGTAGCGCGGGGCAGGCAGATGGGCCGCACGATGGGGCTCATGCTGACAGGCTCGTCCAGGCGCAGCAGAGCGATGTCCGCGGTGAAATTGATACTGCTGTAGTTGTCGTGCACCAGGATGGTCTCCACTTTCCGGAACAGCGTGCCGTACACGAGCCGGTTCTGGGAGTGCATTCCCAGGATCACCCACCAGTGGGCCGCGGGCAACACGGTGTCATTCCTGCGCCAAGGCAGAGGCGGGTTTAGGTTGATCCCATGACTGGTACTAGGAATGGAGGTGGGGTCAAGTGCGGATTTGGGGCGAGGGTCTAGAGGTTGGCGTGCTGTTATGCGACCTATAGCTGACCCTCTGGCGGGGTTTTCAGAGGCAGTAAATCACACTAGAGGAGATGGTCCGCAGAGGGGTTGTTGGATTCACACTGCGTGCCTTAAGGATTTGCAACGCAGCTTCTTATCACTAGGCCCCCACAGGTTGGCATAGGTTCACGGAAGACAGAAAGCCGAATCTGACTGGGAGGTGTTGCCTGAGAATGTTGGAAAGATGGGATTGGGGCCTGGCTCTGTGGCGTGGCAGGACGAGGCTGCTGGAACCCCTCTACCTCTCCCAAGAGCCACGCTGCTCAGCCAGGCGTCCAAGTTTGAGAGTGTTAGAGGGGGGCTGCTGGTCTGCAGGTAAGCCTTGTGGACAAGGGGTCTAGCTGTGGCTCGGCTTTGGCAAGAGAGAGTTCAAACAAGGCGAATACTTACTGCACAAAACAGTGGGCAGCGGAGAGGACCCAGGAGGGCGTGATGAGGGTGCCTCCGCAGACGAACTTCTTATTCAGATGCAGGCTCACCTGCCAGGGCCAGGAGCCTGGCTGTGCATCTGAGCCCCCCACGATACGGGCGGAGGGCAGCGGCTCCCGGATTCCGCAATCTGCGACGAGGAAGCAGGGGAGTCACAGCCATGTTCATCCACCACCACCCCGGGCCACTCAGACCAAGCCCTGTTCCACACTCTGCTCTGGTTTCCCCAAGAGGAGAGGATGCTAGAGAAAGAAAGGTCTTCATGTCCCATCATCGTGTCCCCCCTCACATATTTATCTGCCTGGGGCTGCGACTCACAGTGTCTCTGAGACAGAAGGGAACCACCCCATAGGGTTTGCTAGGTTGAAATGTGTACTGGCTTTAAACTGGTTTATCAGCCCATCTCTTAACCACTATACCAACAAGACCTCCTCAGTCAGTACCCAGTCAGCCCCAGACCTCCTTTCAGGTTCCGGGGCAGGCCTCTTCCTTACCCAGATCTTCATATTCATCCAGGGCAGAGCTCAGAGCTGGCATCAGAGGGTAAAGAGAGGAAGGCTTTATGACCACCCGCCCATAATTGTAGGCTCATCTTGCTTTTCTCCAGCCCCTGCTTCCTACCTTCTCCCCCAGTTTCCTACCCTTTCAGCCCCCCCTGCCAGCATCTCCCTTCTGTCCCCGGCTTTCCCAGCTATCTCACCTGTGTCCTGGAAGGCTCCGGAGGCAGAGCTGATAGCTGGGGAGACAGAAGGAAGCAGGAGACTGGAGACCCACGAAGACTCATAGAATCTGTGATCACACCTTAAAACTCCTTTCCTCCAGTTTTACTACCTGTTCCTTTCCCCCCTTCCTCTGAAACTCCAGTCCTCCTTCTTGAGTCCCCAGCCCTCTTCTTCCGAGACCCCATTCCCCTTCTTCTAATGACTCCATACTTTACTCCCTCCTCTGACCCCCTCCTCTCCACGCAGAACCCAAGAGTCCTGCCCTACAGATGGTGGGACATAAGCCCCTCACGGTCATCCCCTGGCCTCCAGGGTTACCAAGAATCACGAAAGGGATGAGCAGGTCCCAGCGCATGGCAAGTCAATGGAGGCCCAGGGATGGGTCAAGGTCTGTGCCCCGCCTTCGCTCTGTCACCACCAAGGCAGCGCCTGTCTCCTGATGGTCCCGGGAGCAGCCCCACCCTTCCTGGCCAGAGCCCACCTCAGAATCTGAGAGGATCTGAGGCTATAAGGGGGGAAACCCAGGAACTGGAAGGCTCCACCCAAAATCCCATGAGCATCTCCCAGCTCTGACCATCAGTATGGGGGTGGAGGGGCAGGTGTCCTGGACCCTCCCAGCACCTGATGGGTGGGGAACCCTGGGGACAAGAAGAAGAGAACTGCCTGGGGCTAGGAATCCAGTGTTCTGTGTGACTAGTGAGTGAGGGCTAAGGGTTAGCAGTGACCCTGGAGACAAGGAAGGTGGTCCCTGTCCCTATGACTCACCCGAGACCTCACCTCTGTTTGGGGTGCGGCTGCCCCAGTGGCCTGCCTTTTTCTTCTCACACAGCTCTGGTTACTGGAGTTGCTGGCCAGGTTCTGACGGGAGCTCTGGGGAATTCAATCTCATCCCAACAAAAGGATCATAGATTCTGGCAGGCTGGGTAAAGCATGGGGATCCCGGGAGGGGGGCTGGGAAGGCTGAAAAGGCTTCACCTCTCTCCATGTTAAGTACTCTCAGGTGCTCTGCCTTTTACTTTATGTGCAACCTTGAGAGAACCATTCCGTCTTTATGAGTTAGAGTAAATTCCGAAAGTAGATTTTAGAGAGGAATGAACATGAGTTTGATATATCTATGTCCTGTGGACGTACAGTCCCCACCTACATTTTTCTCCCTTAGACTTTATTGGGCACTTTTTTTAATGCATCGATAGCAACGGCAGCTATTAGAAAGAGACCTGGGTAACTGTTTGAAATGAAAGATGTGGGTGTGTGCTGCAAATGATTGTTTTTACAGAGCATTGTATAAGTCAAAGGTCATTTTAAAGACAAGAAAGAAACAAAAGACCAAAAAGGATGCCAGTACAGACTCTGAAACTTGCTCAAGCATGTGGGAAAGCTGAAGTGAATGGACAATATGATGGGTCATCAAAGGACTGGATGGAGACACACAGATTTCAAAGGGCATGTATTGGAAACTTTCAGACCTTCAAAAATGGTTCATTCTGGATCACAATTAAAACAAAGTTAAGCTGGCTGTCTCTGTTTTCCCTTGTTATGTACTTTCAGAACTAACCATAACCTATCTCCTATTAAAACCCACCTTAAATTGCACTTCTACTTTCCTTTTTTTTTCTAAGAAAATTTTTTTAATTGTGATTTTAGTGAAAATTTACAGAAAGGTTGGACTTTGATTCATTCACTGATATACTTTTCACCCTGCCCCCTTTTCATCTTTCCCTGATTCACTTTGTAATGCATTCCTTGCTCCAATTCTTTGCAGGTAGTCCTTTCTTTTACCTATTCTGGTTCTGTATTCATGATCTATACACTCTTTTGTTTTTTTGTTTGTTTGGTTTTTATCAAATTGTGATTTTAATGAAAGTTTACAGAGAAGTTGCATTTTTTTAAGGTTTCTTTGTTGTTGTTGTTGTTATGTGCCGTCGAGTCGCTTGCAACTCATAGCGACCCTGTGTACAACAGCCCTAAACTCTGCTCTGTCCTGTGCCAATCGCACTGTCTCTGACACTCCCATCCCAATTATCCCAGTCACTGAATCAATCCACCTCATGGAGGGCCTTTTCCTCCTGCGCCGTCCCTCCACCCTCCCAAGCATGATGTCCTTCTTCAAGGACCGGTCTCTCCTCACAACATGTCCAAAGTATGTTCTCAGAATCCTTGCCTCCAAGGAGCCACCCGGTTTAACCCTTTCCAGGACAAATCTGTTTGTTTTCCTAGCAGTCCATGGTATTCTAAATACTCTTCTCCAGCACCACAGCTCAAAGGCATCAATTCTCCTTCTATCCTCCTTGGTCATTGTCCAACTCTCTGATGCTTAACAAGTGATTGTGAAGACCATGGCTTCTTTAGTTTAGTGTTTTTTTTTTTTATTTTAATGAACATTTACAGAGATTTTGGGTTTCCATTCATTCATTGTTGCACTTTTCTCCCTGCCCACCCCTCCCCCCCAGTTTGCTCTTCTCTTTGAAAAGTAAAAGAAAAATTCCTTCATTGGTATACAATACCCACCCCACTCCACCCCAACCTTCATTCTGGACTCTTGTGAAACCGTAATACCCTATCATCATGTATCTCTTTAACATGTTCTCTCTTTCATCTGTTTCAATGCAGTATACATAATTTATCCAGTTTTTCTCTTATCTCAACCCTGATATCACTCCCATTCTACAACAGTGGCATTCACTTAGCATAATGTCCTCCAGAGTCACCCAGTTTGAATAATATTGCGTGAGTTCCTTGTTTTTCAATGCAGCATAGTATTCCATTGTGTGGATATACCACAGCTTCTCTATCCATTTGTTCATGGGGAAAAGTTTCATTTTTATTCAGTCATTGTTGCATGTTTCCTCCCTACCCCCGTTTTCTTTTTTTAAAAGAAAATATTCATTCATTATTGTATAATTTCCTCCCTTCCAACCCCCCCCCCAATTCACTTTGCTATGCACCTCTTATTCTGGACTGCTATAATGCAAATAATGCCTAACAATATATTCCTTTTAAACAGTTTTGTCCTTGATCTGTTTAAGTACAGTGTTCATTATTTATCTGCTCTTTTCTTAATTTCTCCCTAACCCCCATGTCAGTCCTGTTTTATAACAGTGGTGTTATGCATTATTTGTCCTTTGTGATTGAGAGATTTCACTCAGCATAATGTCCTCCAGGGTTACCCATGTTGTATAATATTTTATGAGTTCCTTGTTTTCAGTGCCGTGTAGTATTCCACTGTGTGAATGTGCCATAGTTTTTCTATCCATTCATTTGTTGATGGATACTTAGGCTGCTTCCATCTCTTTGCTATTGTGAATAACGCAGCAATCATATGGGTGTGCATATATCTGTTTGGGAAGCAGCTCTGGTTTCCTTAAGATATATTCCTAGTAGTGGAATTGCTGGATCAAATAGTAAATTCTATTTTCAACTTATTGAGAAAGCACCATAGTGCTTTCTATAGTGGTTGCACCATTTTACACTCCCACCAGCAGTGAATAAGGGTTCCAATCTCTCCATAACCTCTCCAGTCTTTATTGTTTGCTGGTCTGTTGAACTTTGCTATTGTTACAGGGGTTCTGCATGTTTTTTATCCTGGTATTATTGATTTGGATTGACTTAACTGACTCCACCCCCTTCTTGCTTTTGTAGTATGATTTGATTATTATCTAAATAGTTATTAGCATAGATAGTATGGTCTGTTGGAATCCCCCCCCCATACAATCCCCTTCCCTAAAGGGCACTGTTGAAAACCCAAACTTGTCCAAACTGCCACCTCTTGATGTTGTTGTTGTTTGATGCCATCGAGTCGTAGATGACTCATAGCGACCCTATGAACGAACAGCCTGAGCACTGTTCGTACATAGAGTTTCCAGAGGCAAGCCATTTGGAAGCGGATGCTGCTCCTGCTTCCAGGCTTGATTTAGTCGGGAAGCTCCAGCCAACACTGTCCACCATGGGTGCCCATTACCACGATTGGCACATCACTGTCACAGTCTTGAGCATCACTCTGGGGACAGAGCAAACCTGCACATCAAACACATTCCCAGAAAAGCAGTCAACTCCAAAAGCTTGCCATGATTCCTGTGCTCACACCACCATGCTAGACTGCTATTCATTTTCGTGTATGTAAGTTTTTCCTAAAACAATAAATTGGTTAAAAATGGTTCAATTATAAAACATCTTCAGTCAGTTTTGAACCATTTTTTGTATGTATCATATGTTAAGCCATTTGCTTTATAAATGAAAATTCACTGGCTTGTTTGTATAGTGAAAATATTTTTTTAAAACTGTAAAAAATTTAAATAAACTGTGAAAAACTGTGAAAAAAAAACCCCTATAAATTGAAGTCTTTCAGCTTGACTCCTGGTTGGTTTTCAGGTCTTTATGTGAACATTAATGATGAGGGACTTTCCCCCTTGGGATTGAACTTGAACAGGGCTACTCAGGAATACTTAACAAATTATTATAATACAACATGCAAAGATCTGGAATAAGAAAATCAGAAGAAAACATTTGGCTTTTCTCAACTCAATGAACTGAAGAAAAACCACATCGAGCCTCAAATTGCAATAGTGATGAAGTCTATAGATAAAATATTGACTGATCCAGGAAGCATCAAAAGATAATGGAATAAATAGACTATTTGTACCCCCAAAAAAGAATTACTTAATACTCACTCATTTTAGGAAGTAGTATGTAGTCAATGGTATTGAAGGAAGAAATCCAGGCTTCATTGAAAACTTTGCTGAAAACAAGACTCCAGGAATGATAAGACTAGCAATTGAAAAACTTCATCAAATGGATGTGGGACTGGAAGTGCCCATCTGTCTATGCCAAGGTCAACTGACTGGAACAGATGGATATTTATGACCATTCCAAAGGAAAACTGATGAAAATGAATACAGAAATGAGAAAGGAAAAAAAATGGGAAAAAAGAATAAAAAAAAGAAATGAGAAATGTTGTTGTTATGTGCCGTCGAGTCGCTTGCGACTCATAGCAACCCTATGTACAACAGCCCTAAAC